ACACACTGAAAGAGATCCCATTGCTGCTTAATATTTCATAGCGTGAGTCGCACAATTCTTAATATTCCTTCCTTGCCTTACCGAACTTGAAGCTTTCCATCTGTGGCACGCTCATTACGCGATAACAGCAAACGCACCACCCTCGCTCCCCACCCCCAAATGACACTCATCATGGTCTTTAAATTTTGCAAAGCCGTCTTCTAAAAAGATGTTCAAATATGTATGCAGGCTCTGGCCCCATTTCCAGGGGTCCATGAAGTGGCGTTTCTCATTCTTGGTGGGAAAACTCAACAAGTTGACTCCTTTTATGAATTTATGGCCCCAGGCCATCGGCAGCCCTCTCTGCTGCTTCCTGACAGTGGCTCCGCTCTCCTTCTCCCTCCCTGCAGAGAAAGAGGCTCGAGGCTATGCTGAAAATAAGATAAGATATTTAAATTTGTCCGCACGTTCACCTACAAGTTCTTATGTTTTTCGAGGTCAGCCGAGTCCCTTTTTCTCGGCTGGTGAATCAGACATTTCGGATTGTGTGTGTGTGTGTGTGTGTGCGCGTGCACACAAGCAGATACGAGCTGAGCCATATCACTACCTTACTGTACTGCATATATTTTTTTTTAGCATCTACAGGCGACGAGGTGAGATGCCTGGGCCCCCGGGCTGCGGTTCAGTCAACAGTCAACATTCCATCGATTCAGCCGCAGAACAACAGCGAGTCATAAACAAACAGGCAGAAGGAAACACAGGAGACCATGCTGACAGACAGAGCGGGGACGCCTATACGCAGCAACAGAGAGCTTTTCCCTGACAGCAGAGCAATGCGTGCTCGTGCATGTGCGTGTCCGACCTTTCTGCATCCTCACAATCTGTGTGATGTTCATGCGTGTGCAGGAAGTATCACGTATGACCCTGAATAACTGCTTTGATGCAGTTGTGCTCGAGTGTGTGTGTGCATCAGTGTAACCTATTTGCCTGCTTTGATGTTATGGTCATCAATATCTCTAATGTATGTATTTCCCCTTGAGTGATTCTATCTGTCTGTATGCATGCATGTAGGTGTGTGTATATGCACACATTGGATTACTTTAAAGCCTGGAATGAATCAGCAATTGACACATTTTTGACACTGAAAGTTGCTAAAAAGAAAGGATCTGTACATGACCTCTCCTCTTCTCTTTTTCTCGATCACTCCCACCACCTCCTCCTCCTCCTCTTTTCCCTTAGTGCTCATGACTCTCTCGTCCCCTTTGTGTCTGTTTGCAGTTCAAACCAGGAGCCCGGCTGTGGTTACATTCCTTAGCTATCCCAAGCTTAGATTAGCATACTGATTAGCTAGCGTTGTGGCTCTATCTTCGCCTTCCCCCGAGCTCCCATGCAGGGCTACAGCCTCATGAATACATAATAGCAACATCGGCAAACAAATGCTTGGCTGAGAGCTTCCAGAGGAGGGAGCTATAGTGCACAGAATACAATGCTTTTATTTATTTTTTTATTTTGTAATGTAATCAGAGGGTACTGAGGCATTCTGGTGTGATTAGTTTCCAACATGGTATGAGCGGTTACATTGTTGAGCTGTTGCCATTTAGCTTTCTCTCTCTCTCTGCACTGTGTTCGTCTCCTTCTTCCAGAATCTTTTCCTTCACTCGTGTCCTTTCTCTACCATCCTTCCAAAATCTACTTGTCATTAGCCCCTACCTCTACTCCCCTCTTGCCTCCTCCCTTTCTTGTTCCACACACCTCTCCCTTTTCATATCAGGTCACCTCCTGCTCTCACCTCTTTTACTGCCACTACGTCTATCCCTCCCTCCAACACATCTCTCTCCCTCCTCTTGAATCTCTCCCTCTGAGAAGGGCCTAAGTGAGGACGGCAGATCGTGTGAAGTTGGATGTTGATTCTAGGTGACAGGCACCATATGAGTCATAGCCATAATCACAGAGCTCCCCTCAGATCCCCCACCCCCTTTTGACAACACAACACAGCAGCACTGCAAAAGCAAAATTGCTCTTGGTACAAACACTACCTATATCGTGCACAACAGGCATGGAAATTTCTCAAATTTGTACAGTATTTTTTATCTCACACAGACTCCACTTCAGGAATAATGGCCACATGGTCCAGTAAGAATGCATGTAAGTAATCCAAATTTTCGTAAAAGACCCTAAATATATTGTAAATAGTCTGGACCATTTCCCTATGCATATGTATGTATAGATGTTGTATATGTGAATTTGTAAATAGACATTTTAAAGTCAGTTTGGCATTGATGGTTTTGTTCCGTATAGAATTATTATTAGAATTGAAAAAAAAATGTATTGATGGCCAAGAAAGAACCATAAACTGTGAAGTAAACACAGTCACCATGACATCACCGATTGGTTTGTGGACTACAGTTTTTGAAGCCTTGAGTTTAGCATTTTGCCCTCGCCATCTTGGTTTTTGGCCATCGCCATCTTGGTTTTTCCGCAACCAGAAGTGACAGGAGAGGGTGGAGCTTAGTACAACCGAACGCTAATACGACTTTTTTTGGCAACCACAAAATGTTATAATAAACTTGAACTGAAAAAACACAATAAAGTAAATAGTAGAACTGCAGATCCCTCGACCATTAATATACTTGATGACTTCCCCTTGAGCTCTAAATGATGTTTCCCTGGCATGCAGTCATAGACAGTTTTCATTGTTTAGTGATGCTTTATGGACCAATTGATTAATCAAGAAAATTATTGGCGGACTAATCAGTATTGACAATGATCGCAAGTTACAGCCCTAGAATGAACAGACCTTTAACATGAAGATTATACAGTCTGTGTCAATATCCATTGTGGGAAAGGGACTACAATGTAAAAGCACACATTTATTTCAACAGGTCAAAAGTAATGTCAAGTCTAAAAGGAGAAGGGAAGAGAAGAGCAGAGAGGACAAGAGATGACGAGAGAGGGGCGGCAAAAAAAACTGCTGAGATAGCAGAGACCTCAGTCAGAATAACATACAGATCAGCGCAGTCCTTCACCAGAAAAGAGACCCAGAAATGAAAGGATGTGAAAGAAATGGGACAGAGGGAAAGGGAAAGAGAGAACATGTGCAACAAAGAGACAGAGGAGAATACAATATGAAAACTGAGAAATAAATGGAGTTAAAAGAAAAAACACTTGAATTTGAGTAAAATAAGGAGGTATACGTAACAAAGGGAAACTGGACCAGACAGCTGACCGGGACATCGAAGGACGCAAGAACAAAGTAGAGGAGGGGTTGAGATAAATATAAAGAAAAGGACAAACCAGAAAGACAGCCTAGACGAAGAAGGTCAAACAAATTGGAAGTGGATGAGAAGAAAGACAAAGCAAAAAGAGGAAATATTCTGGGCTGCAATTTTAGATGATTGGAGATTTATCTGCCAATAAGACTGCAAGCTGAGACAAAAGACAAATCTAAAAAGGGAAGAAGGATAAGAAAGAGGAGCAAAGAGGAGAAACTAAACAGGCTCTCGGGCGTTAGTTTTATTTTACAAATATCAGTAGCAAGAAAAATGTGATGTTACTGGACTGGACTGTTTTTCTACGAAGTGAAAATCCAAAAGACTGCCGACTGAAACAAACATTGATTGGACACAAGCGGAAGATCAATCGACATGGCTGAAGGCACCATAAAATAATAAAAAGACCTCCATATCCAGAAGGTTTCGCCCTTATACCCCCCCCCCCCCCCAACTGATTAACCTGGGGCCTGTATGATTACAAAGCAAACTCAATCATCAGTCCATCTGTAGAAGAAATAACAAGGAGAGAGAGCAGGGGCTAATGCAGAGGCTATGAGGAAAACTCAAGAAAATGAATGTAATGAATCTATTAATTTCTCTACAACACCAGCATAGCTAATATGCTCGAAGACAAGGCGATTATATTAATCATTAGCTCGGCAGCTAATGAAACAGCAGTTTTTTTTTATGGGCTTATCGTGGCTCTTGCACATACATAGCCTCCGTTTTTTTTCCCCTCACACATAGCAGACTGGAGCACAGTGTGCCAGCTGGATATCTCCTCAAAAGTGAGTCAGAGAAGGGAAGCGAAAGGGAGAAGGTGTGAGGGTGCCAGGGAACAAGAGATGAAAAGACATCCTCAGCCAGAGATGTAGCCATAGAGAGGAGGACTGTGGGGCTGTGTGTGTGTGTGTGTGTGTGTGTGTGTGTGTGTGTGTGTGTGTGTGTGTGTGCTTGCATATATTAGCCTAATAAGGTTATTCCCTGGCAATAGTTGAATTACCGCATGAATTAAGATACACCGTTTGTCCAACTGGAAGGGGGCTTATTCCTAGATCTTTTAAAATCTGTTTTTTTTTATGCTATATGTCTCATGTGGATTCTTTATTTCCTGCAACCAGTGTTTAGTCCAGAGACCATATGACAGATGCATGACTGTCTGACCTCAGTAAGTGAGGCTGACAGTAAAACAGCCCTCTGGACAGCGATGTGCCTTTTTCGTGAGACAGAGAGAGAAAGGGATAATTAAATGGAGCCACAATATCCTTAATTAGACCTCTGGGACACTTGAGTTCCAACTCCTGTACAAAGAAAGTGTTTTCACCAGACAATGAGACACATTTCCCTCTT